AGAGCATGTACTATGACCAAGACACTGTTCTACAACATGCTTTCCACATATTAATTCATTTAATGTAACAACTCATATCTCTAGGCTTAGGGAAAAGCACAGAAGTTGCAAGTCTTTTTAGAAGTGTGAAGAAAAAGTCACCCACTTGTCACATGTCCAGACTGCTGAAACCAGGCATTTTAGGGCAATGGTGGCCTGTGACCTAGTTGCTTCATTCTAAAAGCTGGGGTTCCATTAGACCTCCTAAATTGTATAGCACACTCTCATATTTTCAAGCACTAAATTTATACCAATGTGAAGCTGTCATCCAATGCTAACCATGCAGGACAGTGTGGCTGGAACCAAATATAATTGAGTTCCATGTGTTCTCACCCAGGGGGTTGCTCCTGATCCAGTTTCAACATGCACAGTTCCCACCAGGAGGCCTGAGTGTTTCATCAGTTGCCCACCAATTTTTCAGCCAGGAAAAGTAACAGCATTACGTAAAAGGGAAAAAATAGCTTGAATATTCTTTTTTTAAATCACTGAACTGGGAAAATGGAAAGCAACCATTCATGCTCTATTTCATGCCAGGTATTGCAGTTGGTGCCTTAAATACATTTGTTTTAATTCTTGCAACAACATGAAAAATAGGTGAATATTTTAATGTCAAAGATGAAGAACCCGGCAATCATAAAGAATAACTGAGAAAGCATGTGGCGTAGAATGAAAGATGTCCTTTTGTAGAATGGAACTGAAGGTGTAAACGTTCTATTTTTGTTCCCAGAGCTTAACAGAGCAGTGGGTGGTGAAATAGGACTCAATACCACTTGATCAATGGTGAAACTGACAATCCACCGAATATACAACTTCCCTCTTCATTAAGAGTTTTGAGTGGAACCAAATAGTAATTCAAATTTATCAAACACTTGATAAAAGGTATAGTTTACTTGTGTTCAAGAAGATGCCAGATTCTTCCTGTTTCATTAATAGCGCCTTAGGAAGGCACCTAAATGAGCATAACTCATTTTCACAGAAGAAACCATTTTTTCAAGAGAGGGTGGGTTAGGGTGATTAGAGAGCCTTCACATGTAAATATTCAGGGAGCCTGAAAGAGGTTAGCGTGAAATACAGAGAAGATTTGGGCAACCTGTCAAAGTAATTATGCATCTTTTTACAAAAATATCTTCTTTTGTTGGGGTGCCTGGGTGGCTCAGCCAGTTAAACGGCTAGCTCTTAGATTAGGCTCAGGTCATGTTTTCTGGGTTGTGGGGTTGAGCCCTGCAGCTGGCTCTGGACTCAGCAGGGTGTCTGCTTGAAGATTCTCTCCCTCTGCCCCTACCCCCACTCTTTGTCTCTCTCAAATAAATAAATGAATCTTAAAAAAAATCTTTCACTTGTTGAAGAATTAGGAAAAGTGCAGAGTAGATATATCCATTACTAATATTTAATTTACCATGTTACTTTCCTAGAAAAAAAAAATCAGTTTCCCAAAATATGACCTGCTGATATCTGAAATGGTTTCTATCAAGTTACATCTAACAGTATCTAAAGTCTAATAACAGCAGCAACTACAGTTTTTGTCCATGTTATTTTATGTTTGTATTCAAGATGAAAAGCAAGCAAGAAAAATATATTTAAGAAAACCAGGACATCGGTACCCTGAGAAACAAAGACGTGCAGGAGAGGCATCCTACAATGAAACAATATTCAGATTAGAATATGATTTAAAAAAAAAACACTGCTATTCAAAAAATAGTTGGAAAATAGAAAAAATCATATATGCTAAGGATTTCATAAGAATCTGTCACACAGAGCCAAGTCTGCCAAAAGAGCAACACTGCATGAATTATTAAAGATGGGTATGAAAGAAATCATAGGGAAATGGACAGAAAAAGCCAATGTAGAAAAGAGCTCTCACTTACAAAATGTAATGTAGAAAGAGGTGCATTCATGAAATACACCATCAAGACACTACCAAGATCACAAGAAGAGCCCTACAGAGAAAGATGACATTGAAGCAACAGAATGTGAAGTTTAAGCCTTAAGAGAATTGATGAACTGAGAGCTACGGAGTGTGGAAAGAAACACCAAGGGGAGGATGGGAAGTTCCAGTAGACTTGGTGCAAGAATCTGGAAGGAGCTGTCATCACACATGGGCAGTAGCTGCTGTGCCTTGGACACTGGACAAGAGACTCTGATGCAGAGGAAGAAAATGAAAATTCACACAACAAACCCATACAGGGTTCCTGCTTCTCGGAGCTTACGTGCGTTCTTGTGGGGCAATGCAACGTGTGCATTAATGAGCAAGTAACGAACAGGTAAGCAAACAAGGTTCTTTCTGATAGTGATAAGTATGGTAAAGAAAATGGGACAGAAAGATTATCTAGAGTATGACTATTAACAAACAGCTCCTCATTTTTCATCATGCTATAATATCTAAGAAAAGAGACACAAATCAGGTGAATAAAAAGGAGAGAGGGTGATGAAAGGGTAACCCCTCCTTTCTCTCCTCTCTTCTCCTCCCCCCACCCCCACGTCCTGTTATTAAGGGCCAGGGTCCCCAGAGAAAGGGGGAGACAGTGAACTGGTCTATAAAGAATGGTTAGTAAGACCTGTAAGCAATGGCTGGATCATTTAGCTGTGCTCAGGATGGAAAACAAAACAAAACAAAACAAAACAAAACAAAACAATTGTAAGTGCAGTGAGAGTTCTCACACTGAATTTGCTAGGTACTCAGGGTGAGGACTCTATATATAAAAAGGATGATGACCTATACTCAGTCAGCAGAAGAAAGATTCAGGCCAGATTAAAACCAAGTACAGCAAGTGCTGTACTTAGTAAGAATCTATACTGCTTTCAGCACCATGTTAATATAGTAAGAAATACTGGGAAAATCAACATTCTCTCAAGAAAATGCTAACTGGGAAAACAAAATCAAATCCAAATATAAACAGACACAGACACACACACCCCCCAATGTACAACCTAATACCTAACACCAGACTTTGTTTATGAACAATCCATGCTAAAGGATCTCAGAGAAAATCAGATATAAAATAGAATGTCAATATGGAATATTACTCAGCCATCAGAAAGGATGAATACCCACCATTCGCATCAACAGGGATGGAACTGGAGGGGGTTATGCTCAGTGAAATAAGTCAAGCAGAGAAAGACAATTATCACATGGTTTCACTCATATGTGGAACATAAGCAATAGCACGGAGGACCACTGGGGAAGGGAGGGAAAACTGAACGGGAAGAAATCAGAGAGGGAGACAAACCATGAGAGACTCTGGACTCCAGGAAACAAACTGAGGGTTACAGAAGGGAGGGGGATGTGGAGATGGGGTAACCGGGTGATGGATATCAAGGAGGGCACACATGGTGACGAGCACCGGGTGTTATATGCAACTAATGAATCGCTGAACACTACATCAAAAACTAATGATGTACTATATGTTGGCTAATTGAACATAACAATAAAAAATTTAAAAAATAAAATAAAAAAATAATGCCATGATCGGACATGTGAAAGTAAGAGAAATTAAAAAAGAAGAAATTTAGGGAGGGAGAAGGCAAAGAAATGGGGCTGATGTAATGGACAAAAAAGAAATAACTTTTTTTAAAATTTTTTACTAACAGAGAGAGTGAGAATACCAGTGGGGAAAAAAGGCAGGAACTTGGCAAAGGGGCCCAGGATGGTGTCATGAAGTGACCCTATCTGTCCAGACAACCAAAAGGGAATTGTTGCAGGGACCAATAAACTGGAGGAACGGAATGGATGATCCTCAGAGTTCTCACCACATTCTGGAGGCCAGGAATTTTGATGGGTGAGGTGGAAAGGCCAGAGGAAGGGGGACAAGAACACGACCTGTGTGTGTCTCCTGACCTTCTCCTGCTGAGGTGTGACCCTGAGTCCCTGTTCCTTGCTGGTACCTAGTAGCTGCTCCAAGCACTCAGAGTATGTGGCTACAATCAGTGGGAAATGATATTCAAAAGGAGATGCAAGATATGCATCCTGAGCCATTTTTTTTTTAAATCCAAATATCAGAATAATGGATTCACTTCAAAGTGACAGTCTTCAGAAGAATACAAATTATTTTATGGTGACCTGAAGTTCTTCTGGGATTCCCGTGACAGCTTCAGAGGTCATGAGCTAACTGACAGTGGTTAGTCTATATTCGTCGCACTCACCTTGTTTACCTAAACAAGAAAATTATTGAATTTGAAGAAACGCTGCTTTACAGAGGAAATGAATGGAAATGACCCTGATATTTGGTATTACGAATATGTGGAAGCAAACCCAGACTACGATTCACTCATTTTCAGAGTTCATAGCCACCACTTAATGGTACAGGGCTGCTGTGGAAACAGTATTTTTGTGTTAGTTAGTCACACCATATCACAAAGAAGGAGGAGAAATTATGCATTGACTAGAGTTAAAATGCATCAGCTTAAATTTTAGGAAGACGTGGCAAGAATCAAATATTTCTCTATTAAATGTATCAAAGATTCTGCCTGCTGTTTGTTTTACTATACCATAATACTCTTACTTCTGAAATTCAGAAATTTATCACTTAAGATAATTTGCTGGCAGAGTGAGTGGTGGGGACTTTTTGTCAGTAGAAAGGTCAAATAATTTTCCACAATGCACTGCAATTTTTAAGCTTTACAATTTTACTGTAGGTGACCCAAGGGAAAGCTCATTATACCGTTATACACAAAAATTACATTGTGAGTTAATGGAATGTGAACAGTAAGGCACCAGCCTTGTGCGCTGTCCCCCACTGCTTTTTCTGAAATACATAATCTTGATGGGTTCTGTTTTTAAAATTTGTTTTCCAATAAATTTGGGGGAAATTTATCCACGTAAAGAGCAAAACCCCTTATCTCACAGTGAGGCATTGTTTAATGGGGTGGGCTTCTAGATATAAATGCAAGGCTCGTCTAAGGACTACAGCATGCAACACAGATTTAGAGTAAAGCAAAAAAAGTAAGAAAAAAAGTCGACTAACCTAACCCACCTGAGCTCGGCTCACAGGGGTCAATGTCCTCGTCATCGCTGGGACATTCTGCTGAGGCCACAAGGATGTCATCTGTGGTCTGCAAAAGAATCACATTGAGTAGATTAATTTAAAGGGACCCAGCAGATACTCTCATTTTTATCTCAATGACAAGTGAAACATTGTCTGTGTTTTCCTGATAGGTTGAGAAATCAAATTCAGTATTTCCCTTCCCAAGGACACAGAGCCTACATTTTTCAACCTATTTCAGATCTCTCATGGAAGTATTTGCATATTTGTGAAAACCTGATTATAGTTTATTTTACATAAGGATACGGAAATGGTGGTAGCCAACTTGTAGATACCCATCCATTCAACTGCACATAGTAGCATACAGGGGTTTAAAACAACCTGGCAGAAGCAGATGATTTGAAATTTATTACAACCCTGGAGTGCTACAAAGTATGCATCAGTAGCCTTTATGCAGTACTTGTGCTTGATTTCCTAAAAGCAGAACAGCTATAACCTTTTATATTCATGACAAGGTAGGATTTGATGAATCTTTGAGATAGAGCTTGTCATTATTAGGAAACACAGATTAAGTAGAGAATATTTTTCACTGATGCATTAAAGGGAAGCAAATATAGTCCATTTAAGGAACTGCATGTGTGTGTATGTGTGTAGCTTTCACACTTGATTATTAGTTTTGCAATATTCAGTAGTGGGTATCATTTCACCATTGTCCTTTTCATTATTAAGGTTTCATAATAAATGAAAAGCATATGGGGAGGATGATATTTTATGGCAAAAAGGATAGAGGTGACAGTTTTCTCTGTGACATTCTAGTTGCTTCATTGCACTTACAGCAAAAAGATAACCATCACTGTAATAAAAAGCAGAGTGTGTAAATCCTAGTAGTTAGCCACATAATCAACACATTTACAAGTGCCAAAGGTTGTTCTTTACTGCCACTTACAAGCAGCAGTAAACTCGGCAGAGATATTGCATGGAAATTGTGAAGGTTTGCATCAGATCTGGCTAATGCTAAAGTAACAAAGAATTCAATGTATAAGACAGAAAATATCTCATTACATCGGCTAAGGATTAAGGAGATTGTAATTGTTTAGACGATACTCAGAACCACAACACTGATGAAGTCCTTATTTAAAAATGCAATTAGAATAATATAGAGCCTACATTAAAGGAAAAAAAAAGAAATATGGCTCACTTTCATTAAAGGAGGTCTTAGTATAGTCAGAGATTAAAGTATAAACAAATAAATGTTAGGAAAACTATGCCATTTTGAAGAATGAAGATGAAGGATAATACAGTTTCGTGATGAAAACTTGGCTTAAAATTCTTTCAAGTGCAGGGTCTTTACTGAAAAATAATTTGTTCAGATGCTAACACCTAATGATGTAACTTTAAATAAATGCAAGCATTTAAATAGCATTTTTGAGATGGTTTCATGTTATTTTGCTCTTCATTCTCCTAAGAGATGTTTGGGTGACTGGATTCATTTATTTTGTTGCTGTTATTTTAAGAGAGTTAGTTCAAAGTATCAGTTTTCCTGGAATTGTAACTGTTCGTGTCAGTGATAACTACCAGCAATTGGTGTTATGGTCAGGCAGGCCTCTTTCATTAAAGTGAGCTGTAAAAGGCACAACCCATCCTCCCTTTGGCACCAGCATATTTTGCAGGATAACATCCAAATGGACTTGATAATAGCAAGTTATTGGATTATGAGGTCTTGGAGGTCAATTGTTCCAAATCACCCCTGAGCAGATTATCTGCTTTTTTTTTTTAGAGCCAACTTCAAGTGGAAAGCTACTTTTTTTCTGAGCCACAGTAGATACTCTTTAAAGTTACTTTCAAGGGGTGCCTGGGTGGCTCAGATGGTTGAGCATCTGCCTTGGGCTCAGGTCATGATGCCAGGGTCCTGGGATCGAGTCCCGCATCGGGCTCCCTGCTGGGCGGGAAGCCCATTGTAAATGCTTATAAAGGTTGTGATATTATCAACATTACTCTTGTTGCAATAAATGTAGCACTGATTTAAACTTTTTTTGCACTATATTTATAAGTAATATAATTTTAGATATTAAACCGGAAGTTGTACATGTGAATTAGTCCCAACTTTTCAGATCCCACATTAGTATTTATATCAAAATACAGTAGCTATATTGGTACTTTGTTGAACTAAGCTTCCATCTTTTACTGCCTAGGTTTACATTTTGAATAGCAATCAAACATCAAACATAAATAATGAAGGCTGCCTCTTAAAATAAATTCATGGGCTAAAAATGTGGGACTCAGTGGATAGTGTTTCATGAAGACTAAATTATTTAGGCCATACAAGTTAAATTTTGCTTTAAAAGTTGACCTATTTTCTACATTCTTCTGGAACGATTCCACAGCAAACAGAAAGTGTGAGGATGTTCTCAGTGTTATCTTTCACAAAACACAGTACCTAAAATAACAAAAAAATCATAAAATAAGTAGTACCTTCTACAGCCCTCCTACAGTAGAAAAAAAAATCACTGTACAAATACGACCCTACTGTAAAACTATATTTTAGTTTTTAATATACTTTTCCTGGTATAATGAATATATGTTCTTGTTTTTCATATTTTCCCCCCTTAGAAAGGGAAAAACAGCAATAGTCTTCTGAATAAAAGATCTTGAATCAGAGGTGCCTGGGTGGCTCAGTCGGTTAAGCGTCTGTCTTCGGCTCAGGTCATGATCCCGGGGTCCTGGGATCGAGTCCCACATCAGGCTCCTTGCTGAGCAAGGAGCCTGCTTCTCCCTCTGCCTGCCTCTGTCTCTCTCTCTCTCTCTCTGATAAATAAATAAAATCTTAAAAAAAAAAGATCTTGAATCAATAGATGCCTTGGCAGAAATCATCACTCTATGAAAAATCAGGAAGTGGCTCAAGTGTAAGGGGAAAAAAAATCAAATTTCATTTTGGAGGCTCAATTAACTGAACAATCTTCTAGCCAAAGCTGTGTAATTTAAATTTAATTCACTGTGTTTGGAGCTGCCTCTTTATGACACGCTGTTGAGAGAGTGGTAGAAAGAAACTCAAATATGTCACATTAATCAATTCTATTCTTCAGTATACTTTCCCTGATGTTTATAACCTTTTTCAGAAAAGAGACAACCTGCTGAAAGAGACAGAATAGTAATCAAGCAAAAGCATTAGATTTACATAACTGTCCATTTAGATAAATGTGCCTAACTGTGCATCTAACCACTCACAGGTCCAAGTGTCAGGCTGGTCTTCCCTAATTCAGAGTGGCCCGCACATTTACACGGCAAGCATCTGTTCTTGTTCAAAATGTCTACTAAAAATACCTAGGTTTCCTTACCTTTAGGGGCAAAAAAATGATGTGGACAGAATTCAAGAAATAAAGGCACTGAAACTTAATCCATCATGCTCTGGTGGGAAAACACCAACATGTTACAGGATACAAAAATGTAATCAGGATGGGGGAGAAAGGACGTGTATAGCAAGAAGTTACACCAACTTATTTAACTTATTGGACAGCCAGGGTTATTAAGAGAGACACCATTTGGTGGGTTAGAAAGTAGAGAAACTGGTATATTTTTGTTCTTTCTTTCTTACTTACAGGCATCCTCTCCCCAACCTTTAATGGTGGAATACACTGCACATTCACTTGCTATCACTTTTTTAGAATACAGCACAAATGCATATCTGTGTGGCAAAAAGATATGATGAGAGGATAGATAAACTTCATCTGTAAGGTTCTATCTCTACTAAGAACAGCATCCCTACACTTTATTCCTCATGATAAAGAGCTTCACTGAAGACTGATACATCCTGATGAGAACACCTACAAGAAAACTCTATGAGGACAGACCCATTTTGTTGAGGAAAATAACGGAGAACTCCCACTATGCAAAAGGATGTCCACTATGAATCTGCTGTCCACAAAGAAATTCATGATTTACTTTAAAATCGTGATTGAAACTTTGTTTCTAAATGGCAAGACTTTCCCTGTGAGATAGGGAAGTTATTAATGATTCACATACTCAAACGATTATCTATGTCTGTATATAATATATATATTTACATGTAGAGTATATCCTTACATGTATGACCTATGTATTCTTAAGTACTGTTGAAAACACAAAAACTAGTTCAAGATGATGCATATTGCTTAAAATCCAGATTGCCACTTGATTTCTGAACTAGCATATATTTTCCATTATCGATCAGCCTACTAAACTGAAGTGGTTGAAAAGTACACCATTCCAAATATGTATTAGGGAACCAAAGTAAGCACCACGAGGAATGAAGTGGTCAGATAGGAAGCTTGGGAGTTCCAGTTTAACTATAATCAGAAAAGATTAGATCTTCTCAGTGTATGAATGAAATAACATTGTAACATCGGAGCCAGAAAATGTTTACTCTCAATCAGTGCTTAATAGAAACCCTCATTAGTTGCTGGAGTGGTGGGGGGTGGGAGGGATGGGCTGGCTGGGTGATAGACATTGGGGAGGGTATGTGCTACGGTGAGCGCTGTGAATTGTGCAAGACTGTTGAATCACAGATCTGTACCTCTGAAACAAATAACGCAACATATTTTAAGAAAAAAGAAAAAGAAGAAGATAACAGGAGAGGAAGAAAAGGGGAGTATGTCAGAGGGGGAGACGAACCATGAGAGATGATGGACTCTGAAAAACAAACTGAGGGTTCTAGAGGGGAGGGGGTGGATGGGTTAGCCTGGTGATGGGTATTGAGGAGGGCACGTTCTGCATGGAGCACTGGGTGTTATGAACAAACAATGAATCATGGAACACTGCACCAAAAACTAATGATGTAATATATGGTGATTAACATAACAATAAAAAATTAAAAAAAAATAGAAACCCTCATTAAAGCTAAACCATCCAAATACATTTAAAACTAAACCATCCAAATACAATGTTGAAAAATATTGTCTCAAGCCATGGTGCTCCCTTGTATAGCAGTATTGAGCCTAATCTTTCACTACTGTGGTGGACATTTAAACTGAATTGATTGAGCCAATGGATAGGTTGGGTATGGAGCTAGCTGAGATGAGACATGCTTTACTAACT